TTTGAAGATTTAAAAACTTCACTATTTTATGACCAATTAACATATTCAAAAATGTTGTATGACAAATGAAATATTAAGTATATTTTAATTGGTCGAACTGTTTCGTTCGATTTGTTATTGGTTGTCACGAATCATTCAGTTCAAAAGTACGGAGAACATTAAAGTCTCTAGATTTGTAGGCCAAGATGGCAATTGCGAAAACTGAAAGGCCCAAGTGTCTCGATAACGCTCAGCGATTGGGTCAGGTTGGTTTTCTCAGCTCTCTCTATCACTTTTCTAACCTCTTCGCTGCCCGCGCCTCGGATGTCCCGGTATCTCTGGTGCCGTGTGACGGGTGCAAATAATCAATTACCGGTGATTTAATCGCGCATAAACAATAATATGATGTCGCGGTCAGTGCGCGCGGAGACTCGTAGTCGTGCCAAGGATGACATTAAACGTGTTATGCAAGTGGTTGATAAAGTTCGCCATTGGTAAGTCTTCTGATGTATCGCATCGAAGAAGGAAAAGATCAGCCCGGTGACGGAGAGATCAGCCGGTTCTTGTGTCATCGTTTGTCGTTCTCTGGAAAGTGATCACGGAGTATAATACGGGAAAAAGTGAAGCGAGTGCATCCGTTTTGTTCAATTTTTGAGAAAGGCGTGCTCCTGAAAATAATTCACGCGAGAGCGTTGTTCACAGTTGGAATACTCATTTCGAGTGCAAAATTATATAAGAGCAGATCAATAAAAGATTTAATTTACTAAAAACGAGAAACTTCATATAATAATATTTATCAGTTCAGTTAATGAATTTGCAATTTGCATCTGAGTTTTCAATAGAATGATAAAGCCTGTCACAGTGACAAGGATGAGTGCATAGTTACTTATAGTTTTGCTACAAAAATAGAAGATGAAATAGAACTGTGATAGATTGTACTGTTATTGTTTATCGTGCAATGAATATTTTTACCTTTACTTTCTGTTATAATTATTGAACATTTGTAAAGGATAGAATTTTGAAAAAGTTTTAATTGCAGGGAAAAGAAATGGGTTACAATAGGAGAGACAACTATGAAAATATATAAATGGGTTCCAATCTCAACGCTTGATCAGGTATTTCATATAAGAATATAATTTGTGCTTATTGAAATTTACCAAAACAATTTATTACTATTAAAAGATAGTTATGAGAGTTTGATATAAGTATTTTATTTTATAGAAGAAAAAAGGAAAGACTGTTTCTGATAAAGAAAATGGTTTACCAAGGAAAGGAGGAATAGACTCATCAAATTCTAATTTTGGACTGACAGAAGATTCCAATACGTGTGAGTTTGATTTTGACAATTCATAACAGTTATTTTTGCCAATTAACAAAATATGTATTTTTTTTATTATTGTTAGGTTTTTCCACTGTTAGCGATTCTCAAGGATTGACAGATTTCTCTGCACATTTGGGCTTTTCAGAAGACTCCAATTCACAAAACAGTGAACCTGCACCTAAGAGATTAAAGACTGACTAATATTCAACTCACAATCAACATCATTGCCAATGTCATATAGGGATCGATACATAGGAATTACTATCTCTTTTGTGAACTTGCACTTAATAATTTTGTGTTAAATTATACCTCTCTATATGGATGAATCATTAGAAAAGTTCTTTTCTATTTCATCCAAATATTTAGTGAGATATAGATAATATATTTATACATATGTATATATACATATTCATATATATATATATATATATATATATATGTATATGTATATAATGTATATATATATTTATATAACTGCAAATAGTATCTTATGAAAACGTTTTATTTAATAATTATGTGAAATGAAGTTTATTTTTTTACATATGAATTTATTACGAATTCCTCAATGAACTGGATTTAAAAACTAGTAACAAGGATTGGCTAATTGAATAGAAATCAGGCAAATGTTCAATCCGTTTATTAAATCATGATTTTTATATAACTTTCATGGGTGATGTATGGCTCTTTATAGGAGCAGTTGATTCATATTTTACAGGTTCTAAATTTAACCTTGACTCTATATACCTCGTTTATAAGAGATTTGAGATAAAGAGCTAAGTTATAAATGAAAAAATATGAGGTAATCGTAACCTCTATATGTTTCGGGAACAATAAATATAATCCTTCAAAAATTCTAGGATATGAAATATTGAATAGATCTCAAAAATTGAAAGATTTGATAGCAAAAAAGCGGCGGATTCGCAGCGATTGCGTAGTAATGTTGCAGTATTATGTTTTTTCAAAAATATATTTTTCTTGCTATGATTATATATTATTATATCAAGGAATATCCTTGCAAAGTACTCAAACGGTATTATAATTAGTTTCGCAATAAGTCAAGTGCTGAAAAAACGTACATATATAAACTTATATTTTATTTTTAAACACGTTCACACTTCTAATAGTCGTTAAAATCATTGTATATATCAAATATCATTTTCCCATCTACTGATATTGAGTGCTTTCCAATAGTGACACAAGTCGACACAAGTATCGTTCTATCTTTCTTGGCTTTCAATGATTAAGGACAAAATGATACTTGTGTCGACTTGTGTTACTAAATGGAAAGCACCCATTATAGGACAATTTGCATTCCTCTGCGTTACGTTATAGCACCGTGACATGTACAAAATAAGCTTGGATTCATACAAATAAAATAGTTTTAAATGGTCTTTTAATCAGTGCATATTATACATCGCTTATGAAAAACGTTATGATACATTTGTAGTATGTTTGTATAAAAATATAAAAATTAATAAGAATATCTTTGCATGTTGTACAAAGATATTCTTACGAATTGTTCTAGCAAATATTTCAGTCAAAATGTAAAAAAAAAGTACGTGTGATTTGTGGAAATATCTAATTTATAAATGTATTTCCACTTAAAAAAAGACAAATATTTAGTGTAACACCAAGTCAAAATTTGATCGCGTAAGAAATCTTTCTTTCATTCTGCATTCTTTTTTATAAAAATATATGTATATTTATGGTTGTTTACAAACACTATGTATATTTAATATTAATTTAAAATATTTAGGTCTGTATATAAATATGTTACACATTATGTATAAAAAGTTTCGTTTAAATATTTTATTCAGTCACTATTACCAAGGCAATATTTTACCATCATATTGTATGAAACAACCGGTTTGCTGTTCCGTTAATGAGTTTAGGGTATCGAGAATATGATTAACGCTGGTATCGACATCCATCGGAGCATTACTGCCACCCAGATCGGTGCGTACCCATCCAGGATGCAAACACGCCACCAAAATCCCATCAGCTTTTAAATCGATGCTCATTGATTTTGTCGCTGCGTTAAGTGCCGCCTGTTTTATAAACGAGATTAGATAAGACTTTTGCGAAGTTATTTCAAATGTTGAATGTTACAAGATATATATCGATTAATTTCAGAGCGTAATGTAGAGATTTGGGATATCGTAAGATATCCCAAATATTTCATAGACTGAAAATTTTTACATTATTTTATTATGCATAATAGGAATTCTACAAACTTTATTAAATGGGAATTATGTATTTCAATAAGATAGTGATGATATTTCGACTTTAGTAAGATTTACAAAATTAAAATTAATTTTTATATATATTTTGAAGTTCTACCTTGCTACATCTATAAGGATAAAAGCCGCCGTCGTCATTTTTAGTAATGCTGCCTAGGACAGATGTCATATTGATAACCGCTGCTCTTTTTACGCTTAGAGTTTTATCTTCGGACTTTTTCGCAGCCGTCTTCAGCAATGGCAGGAAAGCCTTGAATCAATTGTTACAAACACCTCAGTTATGAACCGACTCGTTAATGGACAATTCATGAACGTAACGAATGATTGTAGGCGTACCTTTGTTAACATAATCGGTGCCACGGTGTTTACGAGGAAAGTGTCTATAATCTGCCGCTTTTTCACAAGACCAAGACGCGTGAATTTGCTGGAAACACCGGCGTTGTTGAAAAGAACGTTGAGACCATCATCTTTTACTTTTTTGCTGACTATTTCCACGAGCTCTTCATAATTATCCGTATTCATCAAATCTGAGGAAAGGAAGCATAAAATTATTTCGCGAACGATTGATGTCAGAATTTTTTATTAAATTTATATACGTTCGCGAAAAGTAGTTCAAGTTTCGTTACACACAGTAAATCTAGTTTCATATTATATCACAAACATTCATCAGAGTACAATAGTGCAGTTTTTTTTACAGATATAATTTTGTATCTTTATTTACTTTATTCATGTTATTCACTTATTAGGATTATTTCGTATCTTTAATAGATTATAATATAATCATAAAAGATAAGCCTAGTCTACAATGACATAACATAAGGCTATAAGGCTGTAAGGTGTGGTTGTAAGAACCTACTTAAATGAATTATTTTCATTTCTTATGCTTAACAACTGTGCTGTATATTGTGACGTAAGATTGTTAAGCATAAGAAATGAAAATAATTCATTTAAATAGGTTCTTACAACCACGTTTTACAGTCTTATAGCCTTATGTTATGTCATTGTAGACTAGGCTGTAGGCTGTCATTGACTCGATTTGAAATAAGATTTATTTTATTTCTAATTAGAATTCAATATTAGCACAATTTAATATCAAATAATTATAAATAATAATAATAGACTGTAACCATAATCTGTAAACCATACTTAAAGATAATAAAGATTTACAATCTTGAAGATTTTTTTCAAAAAAATTCGTCGTTTTATTTTTTAAGAAATTTAATATATTTTTGCGGCAGATTTATGCTGATAAAAGTTTCTTCTAAGAAACAATAACAGTTCCAGTTTATCTAATTTATCTATAGACCACTTTAATATCTACAGACAAGGAAAGCAAGTAATGAAAAACAAGTTCAATAACAGAACGAAGTTTTCAAAGACTTTAACTTGCTAGTCATGTTGTAATAATCGGACACCTTGGCGCAATGTTAAGAATAATAGACTCCGAGATAAAACACGAGAAAATTTAAAGAAATTTATAGAATTAGATTTCTTTTTTTATTATTTCTATCTTTTTCTATTTTAGTGCGAAAAATATATGACTTCTATAGTAATAATTATTATTATTTAAGAACTTTACATCGATCGCGACAAACTACCATATGCGAGATGTAAAGTAAAAATATTTTTCTCTACGTCATGCGTAAATTGAACTTTTTGAATAGCGTATAATTATTATTTATCGCATATTTTAAGAAATAGTCACACCGCACTGATAAAGAATGAAAATTGATTTCTTTATCACGCGTAAGAAAGGATTGATCTTTAACGTTTCTCAAGTAGAAAAAAACTTTAGAGTTGGATGTTATCAGATAGCACATATCGATCAATACAGGCTCGACAAACCGTCGTTTTTTTTTTTTCTACAATAGGAATATTCGCGACTGGACGTCTTTCGCACTGGACGTTTTGATCGTGTGCGTCTAGACTTAATTTTTTTTTATTTTCTTTATTCTTTATTTTGTTCAGTGCTCGTGAATATGAAATCGCGTAAAGTGAACAAGAAAGCGTGGTTGATATGCTGCGAAAAACCGAAAACCGTTGACTCTGATTCGAGTGATCGAGAAACCGAGGATCACAAGGCGCAGAATAAAGTGAAAAATCAAATAGAAGATAAGGTAGAGAATAAAGCAGGAAGCAGTTCGGAGGTTGAGAATAGAGTGGAAAACAAAGTAAAAAATCAAGTGAAAGAGATGGAAAATAAAGCGGGGTGCAGCAAAGTGGAGTGTGGCGTTCAGAATGAAATGGAGAACCAGGTAGATAGCAAGACAGAAAATGAAACGGGGAACAAGACGAAGGATAAAGTGGAGAACCAAATAGACAAGGTAGAGAATAAATTGGAGACTAAGAACGATGTCGAGGATAAGATGGAAAACCTTATAAACAAGGCTGAAAATAAAACGGAGAATGAAGCAAAGAGCAATGTCGAGGAAGAAATGGAGAACAAAGTAAAACATCAGACAGATGGCAGTGTAGAAAATAAAACAGGGAATAAAACGCAGATCAATATCGAAGTTGAAGTGGAGAACAAAATGGAAAATCAAATAGACAAAATAGAGAATAAATTGGAGACCGAAACAAAGGATATCGAGGGTAAAATGAAAAGCAAAATGGAGAATCATATAAACAAGGCTGAGAATAAAATAGAAAACGAAGCAAAGGACAATGTTGAGAAAAAAGTAGAGAACAAAATGGAAAATCAGATAGATGGCAGCGTAGAAAACAAAACAAGGAACATGGCGGAGGTAAATATAAAGGATGAAGTGGAAAATAAATTGGAGAATCAAGTAGACAAAGCTGAAAATAAGATGGAAAACGAAACGGGCGATTTTGTTAATGAAATGGAGAATAAAGTGGAGAACCAGACAGACGGTAGTATAGAAAATAAAGCGGAAAACAAGACGGAGGAAAACAATTTCGAGAATAATAATGTGGAGAACCACCAAGAAGAAAAGAATATTCTTTCCGCATCATATACAAGTAAGCTATTAACATTTTCGTACAATCGAGAATCTAAACGTTTCTTCTTACTGTATAATACGATCATTGAATCACCATAACGAGTTTTTATGTTGAAGTCAATCAGTTGAAATTTTGTTTGTGTCATTGTTATTTTATCTTTGCGCTATAACCAGAAAAACCAGTTGTATTACATTTTTTTAAAATTAATTTATGCGCCTGTTTTAAATATTTTAAATATTTTTTCGATGCATTGTTTAGAAAATAATGCGAATCATTGTAAAAATCAGAAAATTCTTATAAATTTTTTTAATTATATAAAATCGGTTTGTGATCAATAACGATTCAAGTAAGTTCATGATGAAAAAAAATGTAAATTTTATCCGAAATATAATTTGAATATCGTACTGTAAATTCCGTTTTTTTTTATTTTTTATATACAAAATAATTCACAGATGAAATATTAAAATCAAATTTTTTTATTTAAGTATAATAATATAAATATAAATATGTAAATATAAATATGTAAATATAAATTTTTACAGAAAAATATCCAGACATTTTATTATAATTTCAATTTTCAACATTAAACGTTGACACAAGACTAGAATTTCAAAAATGATATTGATTCGAAAGTATATAACGATTTTGTTATATACACGTGTCCTTGACTTGTGTACTTAAAAAAATCCCACATTCTCAACCGCTTATATATGCAACGAGAAAGTTATCGAAGTTTCGAGAAGTCTTATCAGATTTAATCAGAATAATAAATCATTCGCAATAAGAATGATAATATAATGAAATTTTTTTCGCGGAGCGATTTTTAAATTCCTCACGTTACCAGCGTGAATTTAACAGATAATTAATAAAATAGTGTGAAATTAGCGGACTTACCTATCTCGATGATTTGTACACTCGACGATTTGTCGGCGATCGCGCGTAATTCCTATAAAGATGATTTCCATCATTTTTTTCCCCTTTTCATTCAAATACGATTCGAATGAGAGTAAGTGTCGTTCGATTATATCGATTTAAAAAGTCGCGTGTAACGAGACACCATGAAAAGAAAACCGGTCCTAGGATGCTTTGGCTTGGTAAGCTTGCGCAATGATTTACGGTTATCGGTATCGAGTGTGAATCGCGTTCGCTGACTCACCGTGAAATTGCGACGTCGGGAGAGGGGGAGACAGGGAGAGGGTGATGAGAAACCGTATAATAGATGGCGGTGACGGAGGCTTATGGTTGCGAGGTTGCGTTCATCGATGCAGTTTGACTTAACTGTCGCTTGACTCAGGTTCGGTGTGTGAAATACGGCAAGAATCCGGACGCTGTTTTAATTACTCGTTCATCGTGTGAGAGATATAAATCGTGGAAAAAATTCGTTCTTTTACGCGAGGAGCAAAAAGAGTCGCGATGGCGCCGATCAGTAAGTAATGTTGCGTAACGCATGAATTAATGGATCATTTCCAATCCGGTCCGTCCCGCCTTCCCCGCGATCTTACCGTCGCTTTGCTCGCGTCACGACAAGTCGCGAAGACGTTGTCCGGCGGTCTCGGCAACTCGACCAGATGCTTCACCAAGCCCAGGCCTAAACCACGGTTGCAGCCAGTTATAAGAATCGATCTCATTGCACTTCTGGGTTTTTTCGGAGTACCAAGATCAGCGTTGTTATCGTCAACGCGAATCGTGTGCGTGCGACTGAGCCCGACATACGCACCTTCGATCCCGTCGACGCGGAGCGCCGCGCCGCGTCACTGCTGTCTGACGTCACGTGTTCGGATAATCGTGAAGTCGTGAGTTGCATGTCACCGATTATCATGGCGACACTGACGGTGTTCGCGCGGCTCATGTCATCTCGATGCGCGCACGCCAGGTTGCTCGGGTTACCAACCCGTTGGCGGCCGCTCTTCGTCGCATGCGACGCCGACTCCGTCTACGACAGAAGCGCGATGGCCTGCATATGCAGTGAGTGTCGAGACGGGCCGATCGGGAGTTAACTCGCGATTACACCGCGTTATGTAAAAGTTGCACTATCGGCACGCGCGCGAACTCGAACGCGACGCGAGGAAAAATCCGACGACGGAGAAAAATGTTTTGATACTTGAAATATCTACGTAATGTTTTTTTTCAGTCATCTCATTTTTTCACTTTTGACAACACTGTGTAACGTCGAATTTTTCGAGAATTAATTTGTTAAAGAATACTTATATATGGAATGGTAATGGAATCGTCTTTTTTCAGCGGATACATATCAGCCATACACATACGATCTCTTGGTTATCGGTGGTGGATCCGGTGGCCTAGCGGCAGCTAAGGAAGCTGTGGGATTAGGAGCAAAAGTCGCAGTTTTGGATTATGTGACTCCGTCCCCTATTGGTACCACTTGGGGTCTGGGTGGTACTTGTGTCAATGTGGGATGTATTCCGAAGAAACTAATGCATCAAGCCGCATTGCTTGGTGAAGCTATACATGTATGTGTTTTGAATTTTTGTAATTAAAGTGATATAAAGGATTTATATCTGATGTATGAATTGTTTAATTTTTAGGAAGCAGCAACATTTGGTTGGCAATTAGATCCAAAGGCCATAAAAATTGACTGGGAAGCTTTGAGAACTGCTGTACAAAATCATGTCAAGTCTGTAAACTGGGTCACTCGTGTTGAACTTAGAACAAAGTTAGTTGCTTGTTTTATAATATGCTAATTTATGTTTGCATTTGTATTTGTATTACTGTTTGTATCATGTTGTTTATTTCTTTTCTTCGATACATTATTTACTTATTTAAATATTTATAGGAAAATTGAATATTTTAATGCTCTTGGGCATTTCAAAGATGAACACACGATAGTTGGACTTACCAAGAACGGAGAGGAAAAGATTCTTACTGCCAAAAACATATTAATTGCAGTAGGCGGAAGACCTAGATATCCCGATATTCCAGGTGCTGTGGAATATGGTATAAGTAGCGATGATATCTTTAGTTTGCAGTACCCTCCAAGAAAGACACTTGTCGTTGGTGCTGGATGTATCCTTTCCTTCAAAAAGATATATGATGTGTTTTTAAATTTTTAATTTTAATATAATTATACAAAAATACAAACAAAAAGATTTTCTTTAATGACGAGATATAGACATTGGTCTAGAATGTGCTGGTTTTCTCAATGGGCTAGGCTATGACGCCACGATAATGGTTCGATCCATCGTGTTGCGTGGATTTGATCGACAAATGGCAAAACATATTGCCGAAGAAATGACACACCGGGGCGTGCATTTTATTTATGAAGCGAAACCTAAGAAAATTGCGAAACAAGAGGATGGTCGCCTTCTGGTTGATTGGATCGACAAGGTAGGTACTTGATTTGATGAAATTACATGTATAAACGAAGAAATATGTATATTAACATAATGTCTAAATTCTTTTTAGGATGGTCAAATTCATCAAGATGTATATGATACTGTTCTATTTGCTATTGGCCGACGTGCACTCACTGAAGAACTGAAACCGGAAAATGCCGGATTAAAGATTGTTCCGGAAACTGGCAAGATCGATGCAGTTAACGAACAAACGAATGTCCCAAACATTTACGCGGTTGGCGATGTACTTCACGTAAGTTTTTCTGATAGTTTATACCAAAAATCTATTCAAATGATTTTGAATGATTTTAAATAGGTTCAGCATTTTAATATTTCTAATAATTAATTTTAATAAGATAAATACGACAGAAATTAATTTGATGATGCATACATAATACGATGTAATAATTCTTCGAATTGTTACAGAAAAAACCCGAATTAACGCCCGTTGCTATACACGCGGGTAAATTGCTAGCGAGAAGATTATATGGTAATTCGACTGAGAAAATGGATTACACGAATGTAGCAACTACAGTGTTTAGTCCTTTAGAATATGGATGCGTCGGACTGAGTGAAGAAGCAGCCATCGCGATCCATGGGGAAGAAAATATAGAAATTTTCCACGCGTACTACAAACCAACGGAATTTTTCGTACCACAGAAGAATGTTGATCGTTGTTACGTGAAGGTCATTGCGCTTAGACATGATGATGAAAAAGTGCTTGGAATGCACTTTATCGGACCCAACGCGGGCGAAGTGATTCAAGGATTCTCAGCTGCTATTAAGTAAGTGTTTGATTCGTAAAGTCAACTTCTTCAACAGTTAAGCTTCAGGCGCTGTCTAACGTATCCTTATATTTTTGTAGATGTGGCTTAACAATTCCGAAACTGAAGTCTACCGTTGGAATTCATCCAACAGTAGCGGAGGAATTTACGCGTATATTCATTACTAAACGTTCGGGTTTGGATCCGAAGCCGCAAAGTTGCTGCAGTTAGATCGATGTGTCCACAACGTCGTCGTACTTCTATCAATTACATTCACAGATTTATCGATTATCCATTAAGAGATAATGCGGGCCGTACTCTTGTGACAGAAGTCAGCTGAATATCGTTCTGCTGAAACAGTTTTCCCTACTGTATTTGCGAGAGCGCTAGAAGACCGCAGTATTATATAAATATAGCAAAAGAATAGAATTCCGATTATCTGTTTTAATGTCGCACTAACAGTAATTTTTTTATAAATATTTTTCCACGCGCGTTTTGTATAGCGTATGCATCGTTGTAAAAAAGTTATTGTAATACTTATTTGATAGCGATAATAATACCTCAATATTAATAAAATGTTGAATTTATTAATATAAATATTGAGTTTATTATAATATGATTGCTGTATTTTTTAAAACAATTCACAAAAATAGATTTTCTTACTAATATCTAAAGTAATGTTTTTATTTTTACATTGAATTATATTTATCTCTTCTTCAAATATTTTAATAGAGCGATAAATACAAAAATTTAGTGATATTCTCAAAGATTTTGTAAATCATTTTTCATAATTTATAATCGCCATAATTTATAATCGCCATAATTTTATCATAGTGTTCAAAATTGAAATTATACTTCTAACAAAGTAAGAACTATTTTTTATAAATGACTGCGTTATCAATTTACTACTGTTACTATCCTATAAAAATATTAAATAAATATGTCTGAGAAGCACTTTTTATTACTTCTAATATCTACAAAGTTATTTAGAGATAAGAACTAAAATGTGAATTTTATTTTATCAGTTTCAATCCCATGAATTGAATATTACAATCGCTTTTGTTATAGAATAGCGACGTATACTACCTATGGTTTCTCCAGCAATTTTTGATCAAACAAATATCGAAGATACAAAAAATATTGAAATAAACATGAAGAAAAAATGTCTCGAGGAACACAAACTTTACTCATTTGTGAGTAATGTGAAGACATGAAGAATAATATATTATTGAATGTGACATTTGCTTTTGATTAACAAAGATTGTTACTTTTCTTCAAGAAATACCTTTAGAAATATAATGGTCATCTACAATGATCCTTTGGGATAAATCCGAAGGCACCAACAGTAAATCTAGTTACGGAAAATCGTGCATTATTGGCATACACATGTTTACACGTTGCTATGATTTACGATTATAATTCGAGAAAAATGTTACCACTTTTGAGTCACGTCGGTATATGTTTACTTTTACTGCAAAAACCATATTAATTATCGAACAATATTCAGGAAAGACTTTATCCCATTTAACGAAATGCTGTTAAAATGATATCTATTTCACGAAATGGCAAGTGGTTACTAATCGCGGATTTCGGAAAAGATAATGTAATAGTGGTTTGGGACATAGAAAAGGGGGTAAACGTTTTCAAAAATTGTCTTACAAAATTATTTTGACACTTTATAATGTTAAGAAATTAATAAAATATTAAAAATATATTGGTTATACAATAGTAATCGAAATTTTTACTTAATATTCTAAGGATTCCCGTATTCAATCCGCATGCGAAGATGTCACAGCTGCTGATATTAGTTCTGATGCTAAACAAATCGTCACTGTTGGCAATGGGAAATGTCAGAAAGTATATTTCTGACTGTGGATTTATGGAAGAGACAAACCGGATTTGATTTGTACATATGTTAATCATTTTTTGTCTTAAGAGAGAGAAAGAGAGAGAGAAAGAGAGAGTAGAATATTAAATACCAATTATATCTTTATATTATTATTAAACGTTATATTTATATTTTAATTTATATATATATATATATATATATGACAATTATTTATTTTTTTTATAAGAAAGTTTTTCTATACCTGTGATTATTATATAACCTTGATTTGAACCTTGATTTATTTGTTCAGCATCAATCTCATTAATTCATACTACATCTAAATGTGTCAAGGAAATAATTTTCAACGATAAACACCCAGAACAATTTATATTGACGACCGATTATCACGTCTTATTTATAATTTGGGTTAGTAAACTGTAGTCATTATTCTTATTCTTACTTTATTCAAATTATTAAACAAAATAGTGATATAAATCAATAAAAATGAAATATAGATAGATGTAAATGAAATATGATAGATGTATTATTAATTTTGTGTAAAATTATTTTTTTTAATTGTATATAAAATTTCAAATTTTTTTTATTAAACTATAAAATAAAAATATCTCTTCCTCTTAAAAATTAGATTTTATATTTAACATTATTAAAGGTACTTTATCAAAATGAGAAAGAATGGCTGTAGAATTATTCCATCTGATTTAATTCTAAAGACATTATATGATTTTAATTATAATAACATTTTTTTAATTACATATTATATTTGTTTCATATTTTATAAATAAGGATGGTCATGCTTTGAGCTATAATTGTCCAAAAGTTATGACGAAATTTCAACGTGTTGATATTTTTAATACATCATGCTATGTTTTAAATGTACATCAAGTATTTACAGCGAGTACAAATGGTTTGTTTATTATAATAATCAGTTTATTATAATATTGTTTGTATTGTTTATTATAATAATCATAATTATTTATTAATTAATATCTACTTGACATTGTTATTGTAATTTCGGGCTGCATCTTGATATGGGACAATATTTCTTTTAAGAAGAAGAATGCAGTTGATATTAATTATGAAAAGAAAAAATACACACATATAAAGACACTTAATTTACAGAAAAGGGTATATAATATAGGATATATAAATACAAAAACTAAGATCCCTCTAGTAAATCTAGCGATAATTGTATCACAAAATGATTTAAATGTTAATTTTACAGTATGCTCGTTACGGGAAATTCGACATGGTCGCATTACTTTCTACGATTATCAATTGAGACTTTTGTATGTCGGTGTCAGAGCGATCTTGAATCCATTCAATGGATAAGCTTTGATCTTCGATCTAATTTATTGGCTCTGATATTTGCCGATGTGTCAGAAAGTAAGTCTTATTTTGAAAGGATTTGCTCGGTGCCCTTCCGTTTCAAAGTCTCTTTTTATGGTATGCTTTTGACATTACATATGGAAAGGGGAAACAAAAGTATTTGTTATGCATATCAAGGTATAAAAAGAAAAAATAAAATATCGTGATACATTGAAACATTTTCACGAATCAGACGATAGCAATATAGAGATAGTCTCGTCGAAGCTTACTATAAATGCAGAATATATTTCACAAAACTACGAGGACATAACAAATCCACAGTAATTAACGAAATTAATGAAATAACATCGAACCGTTTGCCAACGGACGCTACTTTACGAGCTTCTCCATTTAATGTCCGAAATTTTCTTGCGTATAAGAATTTACAACAATCTCCAAAATCATATATATGTTAATATAACATTAAAGTATTAATATATTTTACATAACAAATATTTTATTACTATTTTTTACTACAAATATTTATTACTACAAATATTTTATTATCTTCATCTGCATCTTTTCTTTTATCTTTAACTTTTTGCTTCTTCTACAGGAGTAATTGCGTTAATAGAAATTCGGCAACAGAAATGTCATCTTGTATTTCCTCATTCAGTTTCAGCTGTAACCAGCATGGACACTCATCTAGAAGGGTAGAAAAATTCAAAGTAGGCATATAGCAAAATTCTGTTGAAGTCAATATGATATTAATTAATAATAATAATATCGATGATAGCAATAGTTTTTTTGCAATGGATAGCAATTATCTAGTTGTGGGCGATGCGCAGGATGTCCTGCATTTATACAATCATGAGAAATGCATTCTGATGATATCCAGAAGTGTATCGTCCCTTCCAAACCTCCAGCTGATTCTCAAGAAATAGATGACCGATAAGAACATCATTTATGTCACTTGTCCACAAAGCTCTTTGAAGGCCGTCAGCTTTAAAATTCTCGCCTAGATGTATATATAAATAAATTTTTTTATAGAAATTTAATACTAAAAGATAGTGATTAATTATTTATTTTAAAAGTATTAACTAACAATGATTTTAATACTTAAAATAAGTAATTTCCAATGTTATATTAGCCAGTATTAAGTTAAATTTCTGTAAGGGTCTTCGATGTCTCTTTCTTATTGTAGAAAAAGAAAAAAGAATCTTCATGAGAAAAGTGTCTTCTTTTAGGCGATGTGCTGGCGTGTGGTCTAGAGAATGGGGCGGTCTGGATTTTGCATCATATCATTTTAGAACCCTCAGACGAAGTGCCGTATAAGCATTCATCGATGGCCATTAATAAAATCGTTTTCGCGCGGTGCGCCCGATATATGGCTTATGAAAACGGTGAAAAACTCCATTGCCTCTCATTTTGAGCAAATTAAATTAATTTAATTAATTTAATTAATTTAATTAATTAATTTAATAAATTAATTAATTAATCTATTTTTAAAATCAAGATGAACTTGTAGGATAACGCGTTGACTGTGGTGGTATTTAAAAGAAACGATATCATCGCTTCGAAGAAGCGCAACGTATGGAATTTAATCGGCTATAAATATCACTCACATTATTTACCTATCAGGGATATACTTTTCGGTCCTGCTGCATCCAATTCTGATGTATCGCGGTTCTTTTCTTTGGGAAAGGATCGAGAATGATCATCGAATATGATCTCGTGCACAGGTTGTATCGTGAATTATACGTCTTATGTAATTATTACGCATTTGTAAAAATTGCATCCAATATTTAATAGATTTGAATGAAATAATAATTATATTATTATATAATAATAATAATTCAAGCATAAGTATTGGTATCAATATTTTTCTTCTAAGTAAAATTAAAATAAGATAATTCTAAATATTATATGAAATATTACAAGGGGAATACTAAAAAGTTTGTTGCGTTAATTAATTTTCAAAGCACTAGAATAATAATAATTATAATTTGTAGAATATGTTTTATGATTTTATTATAGCGGACCGTATCCGATACCAGGACTTCAAATCTTGCGCATCGATTAAATCGAACAGAGCGTTATTTTTCTTTGTCTAGCGTGATACCCCAAGGCAAGGAAAGATTCTTCATGATCTCAAATTCTGAAGTAATAATCTCACAATTCATTCAGATTGCATGAGCAAAACCTGCCTTAATTAATGCCTTAATCTATTATTTCAGTACAAGTACAAGATCATTAATAATATTACCAAAATAATTTGCGGTACTTATTTAGGACCAACTTTCGAAGAACCAGTACAACATTTTCAAGTAACGCAATGACTTTAATAATGACTTTATCTGTATTTTAAAGTGATATGGAAATTGCTTTGGATATCAGAAATATTAAATAATTTTGATTATCAAACTGATAACTATAGGCTTCTTTAAGCTAATTATATACAGAATGTCTGAAGAAGATAAATAAAGTTAATTTATTCGTTTTCTTCAGATATTCTATATATAATCAGAAGCAAGAATATTTTTCCGATCCAATTATATATTTATAAAAATTTATATAACTGCGCTGAAAATTATAAATTATAATGAAAAGATTAAAAATAGAAAATCCTGTATAATCCATGATTAAACTTTAAAATCCATAATAAATAATAAAAAATTAATAAATATTAATCAATTAATCAACATATTGATCAAAGGCAATCAGACTATAATATTTTTTCAAAGATAATTGTTAAATATTTTACAATAGTGTCAAATAATTAAAAAACAAAATATATTTCCAAAATTTGCATATAATTCAAATATTCTTTCTTAGTGTATTTATGTCAGAGAAATTTCTTTGCTTCATATAATTAATTAATTATCATAATCATATTTAAAAAGTTACTATAATTGATAAGTCTTAACAAACAAATTTGTTGACAATAATAGCGGTTACATGGTGTTTGCGACTGACAAAGAAATCGGTCTTCAATTACTGCTTTTTGATGGTAATCCATACAAAATTGTGGGCATGATATGGGTCATCCGCAAAAAGTTAGACATTTTATATATATATTTATGTTAAATAATTGAGATATATGTTTAGTACACATTGCTGAAATAATGAATTTTTCTTTCTCTTACAAAATGTATTTGAACAATGTGATTCTATTTTCATTATTCTTTATTAAAGATTATTTCATTTTAATTTTATGAGCGATTGACTAAAATTGACAACTATTTGTCACTTTATAAATTAAAAAAAAAATCAATATATCGCCCAAGCACGTTCTATTATACATGAACAACATATAAGCGAAAGATTCATTTAAGCGAAAGATTCATTTCGATCTGTATCATAAAGCTAAATTTCTCTCTTCTGACATCATCATTCAATATGGCTGCAATGACGCGTCATGAGTCTTAATACCATAAAGAGATAATTTTTCCAGATCCAGATTGACATAATGGCGCAGTTAGGCGGAGAAGGGCTCTCGTCGTTTTATCGCCTCATCGAAGGTGAAGAAAAAGGGCTAGCAAACGAGATGAAAGATCTGTTTTATTATGCACAGATACTAAATCAAGATGAGAATACGATCACTACACATCCGATGCTCTGGTTGTCAAACAAATTCCAAATCTCATACGTGCTCTCAGATATTATCCCACTAACAAAGAAGTATGTAAAGACAAAGAAACGATTGTTTAAATCAAGAACAATAAAAACACATAATAAAATTAAAAAAATTAAATTAAATGACATGAAAATGATTGGATGTTTTGATTCATTTTGTTTTATTATTATTCTTTTTATCATGCCTAATCCAAACTGTCTATTCCTTTATTTTATTTTTTGTTAATATTGTGAGTCCAATTCTTTTTATCTTTAAAGAAGCAGTTAGCAGTTAGCAGTTCCATGTGCAATATTTCTAAAACAACGATTTTAATTTTAAATGTCCTTTAACAACCTTGAAGATATTTTTCTTCGTTTCAAGACAAGACATTATTCATCTATTTTTTTTAATTTTTTGCATTGGATATTTTTTTCTTTTGTCATAAATTAAACATCTTTAAAAATAAAATTCATTTTAGATGTAAACGGTAAGCTTGCTGTTGATTACCAAAATAAAGTAATTAAAAGCAAAGTAATTAAATGTAATTCATTTTCTCTTTTTAAAATATTGAGTATATCGAATCGCGATATGATTTGCTAAGATAAATTTATTCTTAAGATAGAAAATATTATGATGGAAGTATGCTACAAACATTATATCGAAATCGGTAAACTTATCGAAGAAATTACTTTTGAGGAATTTGTACGGCTCTTATAAATCATCGACCTTACCTTTGGACTTTGCATGCGTCACATAAAGGAAGCTTTTCGTACATTTGTCGAAGAGGATTCTATCAGTATGGAAAATCCTATTTTAACGCGAGAGCAGTTGGTGGATATTTTATCTGGCCGAGTAATATCAAAAACCTTGATGGAAAATGATAAACCTCTCGGTAAATCCGTTAATTGATTTACGTATTATAAATTTATTGATTTTACAGAAAATATGATCTTAAATCATTACTAACTATATTCTGATATAAATCAACAATCGTCTGTCAAATTTTGTCTTCTATTTAATATAATATTTGTCCTTTATGTGAATTTTACATAAGACATAAAATTGTTTGATATGTTGGATTGCAATTTTAATTAATGTGACGAAATATTTGAACAGATATTTGATTGGAAAGTTGAGTCTCCATCAAAGCTTAAATAAACAACGTAGAATTGATAAAATCGGAATTGAATTTGTATTACTAACAAAATAAATGTTATTTATAACACACACACACACACACACACACACACACACACACACACACACACACACACACACACACACACACTATTTATGTATATAGTTATTTATGATATTTAATAGTGTTTTTTCTTCTAATTAGTCATTTATATTGTTATTTGTCGCAAATGAACCATTAACTTTACAAGAGATACACATACACATCTCAGAACACTCATGTTTCCCGAGGAAGAAATAACAGAAACTTAACCAGATCTGATGCAGAGATCCGTGTGCTAATTTTCATTTTTTCCCACCAGTAACTATCTCTTTCGTGTGCAATATATTTAAAAATAACACAATAACGCAAGTAGACGATAAATAAAATAGGCTCGATTAGGCTTCCCGAGAGTAATGTATTATTACGTTATGATACAGAGAGAATATCTTACAAAGATTTCACCATGGATATCATGGATATCGAATTGTTGGAGGAAACTATGGCTGACAATTGAGGAAATCAGCACGACGATGTCACTTGCAATTACTTGCAGTATTGATAGTCTAAGAATTTTTTTTTTTACAGCTACATTCCGTGACGAGGTTCGTTAAACGCAAGCGATTAGGTAAGTCAAAAACAGAAATCGCGTGACTCTCTTTTAAAATTTAAATTAAAATTAAAGGAGGCGCTAGATAGGACCGTCGAGGACATTTATATGTCTCTTCGATTCGCGTAAAAATATTTAAACTATATGGCTGAAACTTGAGGAAATAAAAGAACAATGTGGATTCATTTCCTCGTACTTGTTACTGTAATACTGTTCAGCGAAATTTCCAACATTTCATAATCATTTCTAACATTACAATATTTGCGATCGCCGTGCGTCGTTATTTTATTAATGATTAATCGAGTTTATGGTCAAGAAATGACGTTTGTCTACCCGTCCGTCAATTTGTATTTGTAAACCCGATGCGTTACAATAAAATTAATATAACCACAGATATTACCACTGATCAGTTTTTTTCTGCATGGCATAGAACTATCGGCGAGAGATATTTTGGCTGCTGAAAGAATAAAGTTTGATTCCAAGACAATATCTATATAGACTAGAAGCAAGGAAAGATTCACCTTCTTGAGGAGAACATCGCTTTGAGGAAGCGCTACATGACGATATTTGTACACCGCCGTCGTTACAGACCGATTAATGACGCTTAATGAATATTTTAAAACGTTAGATGGTCCAGTGTCAATAAAAAGAACGAAAAGAGAAAAAAAACAATATCTGCGGCTCTAAGAAAATTCAATTCGATGGTTAAACATTTAGTAGCGTGGTCTCACCGGACCGATAAAGAGGTAATTCGAAAGTTCGTGCGCCGATCGTAACAAGAATGGCTAGGATCGCAATCAGATATATTATGCGAAGATCCTAAGATTTCATGAAACGCAACCCGGCCACGCTAGGCTCGCGTATCTCGCATCGTTATCTATACTATCACCAATGAGGTATTATTAAACATCGATTTACGGAAATTTACAGGATTTCCTTGGACGGTTAGTTTATAATACAGTATTAATTGGATTATTATTTAGGTGTTTCATAAATATACATATACGACAATATTATCATCTACTACAGAATATTGTATTTTTATTTAAACCTATTTCCATTATTATTCACATTCAGTCATCCATGCAAATAATAGCTGAAAAAAGTACAATATATTGTTACTGTAAATATATATATATATATATTTATATTTATGAAACATCTATCATGAATTTAATACTGTGTTATAAATTAATTCAGATATTTATATCAGATGCGGTTAAATTTTGATAATAATACCTTGTAGGCGATATTATCTACCTATCTACTTATTCATCTACCTACTAATGCTATGTATTTATACATGATGCCGTCGTTAAAAGAAGTACAAAGAAATGTACACAAAAAACCTCATTTCATTCTTATAATTCTAGGACGTATTTACATAGTTATGTACAAACACTCTGTATATCGGCTTAAGAAAAATATCAACGTGGAACAGTGTAGCAACTTCTTTTTTTTTTCTTTTCGTACGATCGTGAAAAAGAAAGGAGGAAAATTCTAGCATTACACCTAAAAAGCAACGATCCGATCGGTCGAGTTTGGTAACAACATGCCGTTGCCGTTGTCCTCCCGCGCGGCAACTATCAATCGCAGTATTCGTCGTTCTGCACGATCCCGTGCTTCTTCCGGCAGTCCGGGCAGTACCACTTGCCCTTAGGCGGCACCATTATGCCAACGCATTCAAAGTGGAACCACTCGATGCGGCAGTCTTCACCGTCGCAGGCTATCATCTCCGATACCTCGTCATATGGACATCGACAGTAACAGTAGATCTTGCCGGGTCGTTCCGTGGTCGATGCGCCAACAATCGGAGTCGGCGGCTCAATCTTAAGTTGGCTCGTAGTATTCTCCGCTTCGGATTCGCTGCTGTCGCTGCTGCTCTCCGCGGGACCCTCGGATTCTGTGGCGGACGCTGGCGGTGGCAACACCTCGGGTACAACTGGTTGCTGCTGATTTGCTATCTGTTCCATCTGAGCAGATCTGTTACTATAGGTCTGTATACTCTTTCCGCCGAAGGACAGTCTCGATGTTATCGGTTTTGGATTCGGCGATGTCATCATCGACGTCGGTGGCGGTGGCACAAAACCTGGAATAGTAGTGGTAGTAGTCGCGGTGGTGGTATTTTTCTCAATTTTTCGCCATCGACCAAATGACTGTTTCTCCTGTGGCTCATCGTCACTCGAGTCGCCGTAAAAGCGCTTTGGCATGCGTTTTCTCTTCGAAACTCTTTTATTCTCCGTCTCCGTGCCGCCATTGCCACCAATACTTTGATTCGGCATGCCGACGACAGCGGCAGCTGATGACATTTGTTGCGATTGCTGCATGTCCACTGCGATGCTCGCGGCACTGTGAAAGTCGTTGCATGTTGCAACCGACAATAGATTTGGTGTGGAGGATCTGCTACCAGGATGCATAGCCTGTGATGACGCGGCGAATCCCGAATTTTTCTGGTAAAACGCTTTGGGAATGTTCAATTTGATCGATTCCACGGTGGCCGTTGTAGCTGAGTTACGTTTACCGTTCCTTTCGCCTTTTCGTCGTTTTTTCGTCTTTGTTTTTCTTTTCTGCTGTTGCTGTTGCTGCCGCTGTGGTTGCTGATTCTCGATGATCATTGCAATCGATTCCGATAATGTCGGTTCTGCAATCAGAATACCGTTGTTCAGCGGCATCGTTGGTTGTTCCATCGCTGGTATCAACGTCGAAGTCGGCGTTGAGGTTGGCGTGGATACCGGCGTTATAATAGCCAATTGATTGCGTTTCTCCTCCATTAATTTGTTAGCGAACTGTTGCGGATGTTCATCATAAAAATCTTCATCCGTCTCAGTCTCGTCGGTCTCCAAATCAGATTCCCGCAGGAGTGGCTTCGCCGGTGAAGGCTCGCTTGTTACTACCTCAGGAACCACAGGACCATTTTCTATCGTGATCTCAGGCTTGCTTTCCGGTTCGACGGATTCCGATTTGTTCTCTCGTGTGGCTTCTCTTTCCTTCTTGTTCCGATCCTTACGACCACCGGATTGCTTTCTGGGTGAACTCTCGGACGCGGAACTGTCGGAATCGGAGCTGCTGCTAGAACTAGAGGAGCTGCCAGAAGATGAGCTGCTGCAGCTGCAGTTGGTGCCGCACGAGCAACTGCTCGAGTCGGTATCGCTCGAGGAATCACTTGTGGACGACGTGCTGCCACTTCGCTTCTTCTTCTTGGGAGTCTTTGCTTTCCGTTTATTCACATCGCTGTCACCTCCAGCGTTGCGATTTGGAGTGCCGGGTGATGGACTTCTTCCAGCTTTGATCTCTTGTGTTTTCACGTCATCCTCCTTGGAAATCGGTTGATCCTCATCCTTTTCTTTCTCAGAGGAATATACTACACAATAATCGTGATCGGAAAAGACAATACTTCTCAAGTACGCAGCATCGGTTTCAGGTACGCTCTCTTTCAACGCGACATTCTTGGCGGATTCTTCCACATCCAAACTGGCGGCGTATGTTTTAAAGTTGTCCCAAATGCCATCCATAATACGTGCTTCCTGCTTTTTCTCCTCCTCGTTTCGCTCTACTTCGACTATATCGTTATTCAACGCGGCGACATCATCATCATCATCATCAGCAGTAACAACAGGTTTTTCGGTGGGTCCTTCTTCGTCCTTCTTCGTCGCATCCTCATCCACATTTTCCTTTTCCGGTGGTTTTTCTATAGAAGTGGGCTTCTCCTCCTCGCTATCGGTATCACTTTCAGACGACAGATTGAGCGGCGGCAAATCATAAACATCAACCACTTTTTTCACAGCCTCTTTGACATTTTTTGATGTGGTCTCGACTGTCGTTATCGGATCTCCTCCATTAGTCGTTACCATGGATATGTCCTTGTCTGATTTTTCGTCTTTGTCTATTAATGGAATATTAATCACATCCGTCACGTTCACGTAAACTTCCTCCGCTTCAGGTTCTCTATGAGTTGTTTGATGCTTCGCGAGAAGCTTCCGTGATATGAAGCGTTGCTCACACTCGTTACAGTCGTATGGTAAATCGCCAGAATGCAACCTCTTGTGCACCTTGAGCGCTACCGCACGGCCAAAGCTCGAACCGCATTCTTCACAAACGAATGCCGTAGGTGGTATGCAGAAGTGATATATGTGTGGCCACTTCTTTTGCAAACATTTTCTGCATAGAACGCTTTCCGTGCCATGCTTCCAGAACAAATGTTTCGTGATATCTGGTTTATTACGATATGCAATGCCGCATCTGTAACACAAATGATGTAATTTATGTTTCCAGACATGGTTCGAGAGACGTTGCTGATTGCCTGTAGATTCCAGGCAAACGTCGCAGGCATGATGACGTTTGCGCACGTGAACCATCAGTCGGAATGCCGATGGAAGATTCGCCACCGAGCAGAGGCAGCATCGATATCGCAAAGTCGCGTTCGACGAGTAAACACCAGGACATAGATGGCACACCAATTCACTGTAACTGTAGAATGTTGATTTGCACATTATGCAAATCAATATGGTCTTCTGATGCATCTTTCGATTGTGCAAGTACAGCTCTTTGTGCACCGTTGAATGAAATCTGCAATGAAAGCACTCGTATATCAGCACATTCGGCACATTATACGTGCCGTCTGTACTGTTATATGTGTCTAGATTAAAATAACGGGATTCGAGTTCATCGAGAGATCTTTTCACCCGCGCGATGAACTGTTCCGCGTGTATAATTATCGCGGGATGCTGAGGCTGAAACTTGTGCTCCGCCAACATGTGCAGGGCGAGCTGCCTGCCATTGACGGCGATATATCGCGCGTGATTGCAGTACACGCAGATGGGACTGGTCACTTCTATACAACGTTTCAGCAGCTCCTCTAGCTCCATACTATCTAGAGTACCTTCAACATTCAAGTCAATACACGGAATATCCTCGCCGGCCAACACGATACCACCATCGTCAATCGTATGACTTCTCGCTTGTTCATTCGGAACATCTCCGATTGCGTTACCTTCGCATTTTTCGTTGTTACCGATCGGCATCGTTTCTGTGACAGAGAATAATCCGTCGGTATATGTCGCAGTTCCGATTTCATCGTTTTCCTTCTGGTTCCTTTGGTTGTTATCTCCCGCGTCATCACATTTATTTTCGGTCTCGTCGGCTTCTTCACCCTCCTCGGCATCTTCCACTTCTTCATCTTCTTCCGGATTACTATCTATTACCGCCAGTTTATCGCTGTCGGAATCACTATCGTCTAGCTCGTTCGCTTGATCATAGCCAATGATATCTTTCTCCATTTCTGAACCGTTCGGCATTCTCACCTTCGACGTCGATCCTTCGGCGTTGTTGTTTTCCTCAGATTCCCTATTTGTAACAGTGGTCGTTGCGACGCTAAATTGCGAGTTCCTGTTGCAGATCTTGATGACCAAACTTCTATCGGAAGAAGCGACAGCATTAAACGAGACCGAGGGCTGAGATTCAATAGGATTCGTCGTGACGGGCTTTTCGATCTTCTTGTCGATGTCTTCGAAAGGTTCTTTCTCTTTGGATTGTGAATCCGACATGTGCAATTCATGCTGTGGACTAAATAATGATCGGTTGAGGGGACTGCAACTTCGCGCATCCTGCGGACTATCGTACGAACGAGATCTACTTTTGGTTTCGGTTTCGCACGTAAGATTCACATTTGTCTCCGTAGTTATAGTCTCTTCAGTGTCCAACTGTACTGGGCTAGATGCTCTCGGACTAGCCAAGCATGACGGATCAATGTTGCTCTTGTCGCATGTTCCTTCGTCTTCGGTATTCGTCTTTTCAACCGCATGTGTTAACGCATCTTTTGACGTACATGAGTTCGGAGTGCTCATTGTTTCTTCTGTCTCCCTTTTATCTTCTTCTCCTATATAACGTGATACTTCCATGATGGTTTCCGTTACACTATCGTAAGGTTCACTAAAATCAAGTTGGCAATTTTGAACTGATGACTTTGCTCCTGATCCTTTCTCGCGATTATTACCTATGTCTTTATTCATCGCTTGTTCATCGTTCTCATCATTCTCGTCGAATATATTGCCACCCGTGTACCTAGACACTTCCATTATCGTCTCGGTAACTGTATCCCTAGGTAAGTTATTTGCAACTTCTCTTTGGACATCAAGATCGCAGTCAAGTTGATTCTCGTTACATTGGGTATTCGCGCCGAGCTTTCTCGCCAGTACTGATTTTTGTTGGCGAAAATTTTGCACAGTATCTTTTTCACCACGTTTCCTCCTGTTGTATTTTATCGATTTTCTCGGTAATCCTTTACCTCCGAGATTAGTAGGTATCTCTGATGGAGGAACGGCTGCTGGTGATGCATTGTCCGTACATGTAGCATTGGCGATCGTCAACGGCATTGTTGTACCACATAATTCTTTATTTGTATCCGATGGTAGCGTAACAGTACAGGTACTCGCATGCGTGCCAGTTTGTCTGCAAATAGTGCACGTCGATGCATCAGTGACGGTTGTATCCTGTTCTAATACCGGAGAGCAAAAGTGATTGGAGAAGTCATCAGTTTCCGAGAACAATTTTTCGCAACTGCAACATATCAGATAGCACGAGCCCTTGAAAATATTATAGAAATCCTCCGTCGAAGAAAACGCTATCTCTGGGACATTGTGCTTCTTCATGAGATGGTGAGACAGCCTTTCCGCCTGGCCGAACATGCCCAGGCAAAAGAGACATATGTGACGCTTGTGTATATCCCTCATGTGTAAAAACAAGTTCCAATTTTCGAAGTACGTGTCACACGCCGAGCACAAGTAAACTTTCCTTGAGATCTTGAAGATACTGGCATGTGGCACCGAGGCACTCGAATCGGAGGTACTGGGCATTGGCGTCATGCTAGGATTACAAGCACACGAGTTCTGTTTCGAATTAGGTCCGGAGCTAAACCACATGTGACACTTGGAGCACTTGTATTTCGTAGATGGTTGGAGACCCAGATACTGAGCGTATTCCGTTATCTTACGCTTTCGCTTCCTCTCCACTTCTTTATTCTTGACGATCCTGACATTGGGGTGCGTCGGTCGTCGCAGTTCCTGAACGTTCTTTGGCGCAGTGATGGGGACTTCCCGAGCCTCGGCCAAGATGCGTTTCTTGAAACCCTTAAATATGAATTTTGGTCCTGCAGTAATATTTTTACCTGGTGAATCTTTTGCTACGATCGAATTGTAGCATATCAACTGTTTCTTATCCTCGATTACATCAGTGTATAAATTGTCAATGGAATGTTTTAATGCATTGCTTAGAGTGGAATCATTGAGTCGATGCTCCTCCACATATCTATTCCACATATCTATAACTTTACTTTCTCCATCCTCATCTTCCATAATAGTGCAAACTGTTACAGTGGTTTACCTGAAACATACAATTGTATATTGCAGTTTTATATATCATACATATCTAAAATACATATCTAAACATACATATCTAAACATAAGATAGATATATATAAAAATATAAATAATTTGATTAATATACTTAAAATGATTGTAACAATTGATTAATGTTAAATGTACAACAGGAGTATGTCTATTTACTATTAAAAAATTCATTAATCCACAGATGATATAAAGTTGAAATTAATTAAAGATATAAACTTGAAATTATTTGCGAATAAAGACCTCTTGAATATAGACGACGTTTTAATGACAACAGACATGCATTGATAGAATCTTTCTGAATGATGTCTGGGTCAAACATTAAAAATAGGATTGTATTGCGATTCAGTTACGTCGCAATGTGCAATGTAGATGCATGTTCACTGTATAGATGACGGACACTATTCTATTCTCAGTGAATTTCACACTTTTGCTACTGTAAAGAGAGAAAAAAAAGAAAACTCGGATTCGGATTCACAGTCACATGTCACAACCGGAGAAACATAAAGATCTCGCCGCAATGTCGGCCTCGTGATTGCACGGAATCCGCCACGGATTTTAGCGTGGCGGCAAGCCGAGGTAGACCTGCCGATCCCGGAACTTCGGCGAGGTCGGCGAATCGCGTGGCGATCAACACTTTTCTCTCTTTCTTTTCTCTCCCTCCCTCTCTCTCTATCTCCTTCCCTCGTGGTGAGCCACGTATTCGCAATGCTTTTCAGCGGAAGCCGAACGACGCGGGGACAAAGGCGACGGAAGCGTGCCTGCCGCGCGCGAGGATGACTCGGGGAGAAAAAGCGCGAGCTCTCGTGATCGTGGCTGCGGTCACCTCCGGGCAACTTCGCGTCGTACTTACTTTCGCAGAACGCGAATCAAGCGTCGAGGGTCGTCCGTGCGACGGTGCGATCGGCTGCGTGACGTGCAGCACGTAGCGCGAGGCTTTTCGGCGACTCCGAGTGACTGACTGCGGTACGCGACGAAAAGGTTAGTAAAATGGCGTCATATCAACGAGCGCTGCACCGTCCGTGCTTCCAACACGTCCCCAGTGATGCCACCCTTTGTCATAGCGACCGTGGTCGCGGCTCGCCCTGGGAAACTGCACGAGGTTATCCCGGGTCCAGCGTGGGCTGTGCTGATCCGCGATGATCACGGAACGATCGCCGTCGCTGCTGCTAACGAGGCTGACGATGACAATGGATGATGCTGTCACTGATTTAACTCGAGCACGTACGAGCGACCACGACGGAAGAACAGCTGCGAGTGCGAGGACGAATGCGAGTGCCGCTCGCTCCGGTGCTCAGGGCCGTCGTGCGCGTTCCCGTCCCGCGATACGACGGCATCTCTCGCGGACGAACACGCGTACGTCTAACGTAGTACTCATAATACCCCCCATCCCCACTCTCACGATGACAAACCGTACGCGAGCGAGCCGGCGACGGCGGCGTCGCTCAAAACCGCCGAGCGTAAATTCTCCGGTCAGCGACAAACTCTCTTGATATCTCTCGACGCGTTCTCGCGCGCAAACAATCCTGCCCTACGAACGTGCCAATAAACGTGCTTCTAATCATGTCCAGATGAATTTCATACAACTGTACGAAGCGTACGCAGAAAGGAAAAAGATCGACCAATCATCTACGTTCTAGGCACGATGCTTATTTAGTTTTTTTTTTTTTTTTTATAAATAATGTGTAATTGATATTACATTATTTATCATTGTGAACTGCACTAAATTTTTTTTTTTAGCCAAGCTTCAAATATATGTTTATTTTATTTTAAATACGTATACTCGTTTTTAAACGTATACTCGTTCAGCTATAACAACTATTGGTTTGATTCCGTACGATGTCTAATTTGTCCAATAATATTGGATGCTTTCCAAAAGAAAAAAATGCGCATAATGTAGGAAATATTAGGAATAGGAATAATTAAATTTTGCAAAATTCTGAATAAAGATTAAACGTGGTGTACAACAGACTGAGTAAGATATAGTTTTATAGTTTAATCAATCAGATAAAACCAATCTCAAATTTAGTGAATTTTATTCAAATTGATTAAATTCCAATCTAATCTCAATCTTTAATCTGATGTGGACATTAGATTTATAGTTAACAACTAAAAATTTATTATGTACAAAGATTTTAACTAATATAAATAAATAGTCCAGGATATCGATTATGTAACTTCAGCCTAAATATAATATATATAAAATATTAAATATAATTTTATATAATTTCCTAATATAACCTTTTATTATTAAAATTAATAAAAAAAAATTTTTATTTTTCATGTTTTCGCGCTAGAGAAAAAATTATGAACAGCGTACGGAACAAAAAAAAAGCAAGATTTCTTGGTTCTGATTGGTCAATTAAATGCTATTCTATTCATCGAGTAGAATTTTGGAACGCAGGAGTTTAATTTCATAAAAAAAGTCGAAGTAAAAAATTAAAGTAAAAGTTATAAAAGTGAGGAAATTTGCTAGTCTTCGATATATGAAGTTTATTTTACTCTCACTAGTAAATTTTTTCACTTTTATAATTTTCATCTTTCGTTTCGAAATACTCTCGATACTCTCTGTAGCCATAAATAATGCCAACGATAGAAATTTCATAGGGAAATCGTGCGATCGTCGGGTTCCTAGCGATCACGTCACTGACGCGCTATCCACATTTGCCAATGTTGCGAGCGTATCTATACATATCACGTATATCACGTATAGAATGTGTGCGAGCGCGTCGACACATATCACACTATCTCGCTCCTCGTATCTCGTGTATATCACGTTTGTTGATGCCAACTCGCGGATCTCTCGCGAATAACTTAACGGGCGGTAAAAAAGCAAGGGGTACGCCGGCTTTTCGGCAGACGGTTCCTCGCGTATACACGCGGACGACGGAGTTTCTCGGCTTCGAGTTTCTCGAGCGCGTCCCAGGAAGTCTCTAGGGGCAGGATCGCGGAGAGTCTCTGTGCGCGACACACTCACGGACGGTCAGACGTTGTCATTTGAAAACGGAAGCCATCTTGTGGCCGAGACTCCCATATCACACGGGGAATAATAGTTCCACGGCTATTTGCTCCGATAAATTGCTTCGTATCTCACCAAATACGTCTAGACTATGCATGAACCATTTTATCACACGTTCACATAGCCATGGCTGCGACAAGAAAGTTGCAAGGTGAGGAGAAAGTGTTTCCATTCGTGTTTACATTTGGGAATCGCGACGTTCGTTCCCGCATCGCTCGCGGTCCCGCATCCCTCCGGACGGCCGCGTGTCCGGCTACTTCGGACCATCGCGCTTTGTCTTATCTCGTCGCCGATATTCCTCGCGATTCCGCCGTGGACGCGTGCGTGCGAATTCGCGCGAATTCCCACGCACAAACGCGCGGTTCCCGGCACGCGACGTATCGCATAGTCGTTCCAGCGTCGTAGCCCAAATGGCTACGCGACGGCCCGCCAGGCTCCGGCCCGAGAGCCCCGTGGACTTTACTCCCTTTGCCTCGCTTTACCGCCCACAGTCGCGGCGAATCCTCCATCCCGTGGATGACACTGCGGCTCTTCAATTCTGTCGGCATAACCTTTAAGGATTTTAAACTTTAAACTTTTTAATTAATCACAATGGTGCGTGTCCTAAATCGTGTGCCTGTTGAGACCTATTTCTGTATGCTTGCCACAGACATTAATTATTATCGAGATAGATATAAAAAATACAAATGTTTCTCACTCTAGGAGAATTATGTGTAGACAAGTTTTCTTTTCCTATTGTAATTTTTTGTTACAATTATATGTATCATGCTATTATTTTGTTCTTCATTTTTTTAGGTTTTGAGCTTTTGGGGACTATGTTTTATAATTTTACTGTTTTTCTCTTATCTGTAAAAATTTTCTTGCATTACGGATACATAAATGTGAAGCGTATGTGAAACATGATTTACGGTTCTTTATTTAATTCGTAAGATAAATTGTTAAACTAAATTTTAAATCTATTATATAGCTAAAAGAGTAAATTCTTGGAAATATTTGTGTAATTAGTTTATAAATTGGAGTAAATTAAGCAATTTATAAATTTGTTTTTTTTTTAATTAACACTTTCTAATATTCAGCAACTTCAACGTTTCCAATAAAATGTTAAGGAAATATATAGTGATATATAATTGTATATATAATTATTAACATATAATATTTTGTTACAGGTGAAATAGATCGGTGCCTTAAAAAAGTAACAGAGGGTGTGGAAACATTTGAAGATATTTGGCAAAAAGTCCATAATGCCACCAACAGCAATCAGAAGGAAAAGTACGAGGCTGATCTCAAAAAGGAAATCAAGAAACTTCAAAGGTTACGCGATCAAATTAAGAGCTGGATTGCATCGGGTGAAATAAAAGATAAGAGTATGCTTCTGGATTACCGGAAGTTAATTGAAACTGTTAGTATGCTTGCTGAAAGTAATGATATATCTGCTTCGCACAATTATTGTCATAAATATTTGTATAGTAAATGTCTCTTTTTTTTTTATATAGCAAATGGAAAGATTTAAAGTTGTGGAAAGAGAGACGAAAACAAAAGCATATTCTAAAGAAGGTTTAGGTGCTGCTCAGAAATTGGATCCAGCTCAGAAAGAGAAAGATGAGATTACTAATTGGCTCGCCAATTCTATAGACGCTCTCAATCTGCAGGTATCATTTGTTACATTAATAACATTACGAATCATTTTTTGTTAAGTGATAATAGAATAAGAGTTATTATAACACATTTATCATCATTGTTAGATGGATACATTTGAATCGGAAATAGAATCGTTGCAGGCGGGAAAGAAGAAAAGGATAGACAAAGATAAGCAAGATAGGGTAGACGAATTGAAAGCGAAGCTTGACAAACATCGCTATCATATCCGTAAATTGGAGACATTATTACGTATGCTTGATAATATGTCCGTCGAAGTCAATACAGTAAGCGTTTTCAGATTGGCATAATATGAAGCGATCATATTGAGTTGTGTTACACAATTCTCCTATTAATTTTTATGTGAAATTGTTATAGATTAAAAGGATAAAGGACGATGTCGAGTATTACATCGAGTCTTCGCAAGATCCGGATTTTGAGGAAAATGAATACATTTATGATGATATTATCGGCCTCGATGAAGTTGAGTTGCCTGGAGTTGGTATTCCCTCGTCAGCAACAACGGATAGTAACAACAGCAACGAAACCGGAGGAACGCCCACCTCAACTAATTCCTGTACTTCGCCTATACCGTCACCGTCGTTGAGCTCCACTATGCATAATCATTCAAGCGACAGTTCTACAGATAATGACAAGAAAACAAAGGTATGAGTCCTTTTATTCTTTGTTCTCATTTAAAAAAATGTTGGATAGGAGATCGCGATACTTTAATTTCAAAGACATCGAGCTAGAAATAAAATTTGATTCGTAGAATTAATATATGGAACGTCATTTTCTATGTTTCGTTTGATTTCAGCCTGTGAAACCAACAGCAGTCAGGCCGCTATTGAATACGCAAGCGAGCATTCCAACCACGGGAAGCACTGCCACCATAAAATCGAATATGTTATCGAGCAGCACTCCAAGCAAAACCATTCCCATGACACCTAGCCATAGCTCGCCTAGTTCTACGAGCAATCACATTGCCACGACTAATGCCGGCAATTTCGCTACCGTAGCTGCCTCGCACAGCAATTCGCAAGCCATCCATTCTACCTCCAACAAAACATCCAGTAAGACACTATGTCTTTATACACGATTATTCATGTTGTCGTAGATATTGTGGACAAATTAATTCACGTTCTTATAGTTATGACTTGATAAATAACATTAAATCCTTTTTTTCATAGCCCACAACAGCGAAAATAATATCTTGTCATCGTCATCTACGTCCAGCGTTACGTCGAATGTGCAACAAACGGTTGCACAACAGCACAATAATAATCCGGCGCCGGTACAGACGACGCACATATTGCACAGTCAACAAAGTCAAAATCACAATAGCGAAACGGAAATGACTACACCGATACCGCCATCTTCGTCGCCGCAGTCGTCGGTCAGCAGTAGATCTTCGCCGATGCCCGCAAACTCCTGCTCGCCAGCACCGTCCACTGCCAATGGTCTCATCCCTAAGCTTCCCGATGGAAGCATGTCCTCTCTAAAGTCCATTGCCCAACAAGTAATTGTCCGAGCAGGTCTCGAGATACCACCTTCCGAGCCGAATAGAAACATCTTTGACAGTGCCAAGACGAGCAACAGTAGCAGCACCAACGCCACGTCAGAAGCACACATTCCTCCGCTGCTTGGGGTTGCGCCTCTGGGTCCTGTACCATTGCAGAAGGAACATCAACTGCAGTTCCAAATGATGGAAGCCGCCTACTATCATATGCCACATCCGTCTGACTCGGAAAGATTACGTTCGTACTTGCCGAGGAATACATGCACCACGCCACCTTATTATCAGCAGGTACATTTAATGTGTCTTATAAATCCTTAATTCGCTAGACTATGTAACAAACATTTGCGTAACAAACGATTAATGCTATTAATATTTGTTATACTTCGATCAGGTTCAGCTTCCCCATTCGGATACAGTGGAGTTCTTCCAACGTTTATCTACGGAAACTTTATTCTTCATATTTTATTATATGGAAGGATCTAAGGGGCAGTATTTGGCAGCGAAAGCACTGAAGAAACAAAGCTGGAGGTTTCACACCAAGTATATGATGTGGTTCCAGAGGCACGAGGAACCGAAAGTTATTAATGAAGAATACGAGCAGGTTAGTATATCTTCTTTCTATTCAATTTTTGTGTGAAAAGAGGTAATTTATACCTCTAAAGAGATTGTCAATGAACAAGAGTGAGCTAATCGTTTGATAGCGTATTATTCTCGGCATAATACCTAGCGAGTTTCTATAAGAATCGCTTGCGTTTCAGGGAACGTACATCTATTTTGACTACGAAAAATGGGGGCAGAGGAAAAAAGAAGGATTTACTTTCGAATACAAGTACTTAGAGGACAGAGACCTAAACTAACAGTTCTGTCGCTTATTGAGTCTTCGAAATGCGCCGTTTCTGTACCGGTATTGTGTTATCTGAACTTTTGTAAAAGATAATTCTGTTCGGTATAAAATCGGTAAAGTCCAATATAAAAAGAAAATCAGTTTACAAAATCATGAAAGGCAAAGAAAGTATTTCGTTACATTTCGATGCTACGATGACAAAATCTTTCTTAATCCTTTTTTTTCAACGAGGTAGACCAAATGAAAAAAGAGTGAAAAAAAGAAATATACAGAAAGATTATATGGGAAATAGATCATAATTATTGTAAATGATAAACAGGAAGCAAAGGGAGGTTGGAAGAAAGGTAAAAAAGAAGCAAAAACAACAGAAATACACGGAATGATTCAGTGTGCTGTGTGATAATGGGAAGGAATGAAAGAGAGAGAAAGAGAGGGAGAGAAAGGTGATGTACTTGCTGGCGACTGACTCTGTAATACCAGTACAAACATGCGTGTGGCCCATCTGCCGTCTGGCGCGATAAGGTGGAGGGCGCTCATGCTATGGTACGTCTTAATGTTAGATTATAAGTAGCCTTTTTGTATAAAGTGTATTGAGGTATAAAACCCTTAAATTGAATTAATGTACAGAATGTGTAGAATAGTGAATAATAATATTATGGAATATATTTTATTTCTCATTTGAATGAAACCTAAGTTGTTTCAATTTTTATCACGCACTAGCACATCATCTCAACCTACGTTTGGAAAACATTCCATCCATCGCGCGCGTGATTAAACTTCGCTTTCGAAATAGGTTACTTATATGCGTTCTAACGATTAATAAGGCCGGGGCTCGTCGTCGAAGTTAAAGATTGTACCGCGTATTATTAACAATAGCGTGCTAGATTAGGCTTTTCATGCTACGTATTTTGCAGTCCTCAGATTACAATACTTTGCAAGCATTTCAAGGTTTATTAACTACGCTCGTCGAGTGACGTCAATTGCTATGCATGTGCGTATCTGTTTTATTAAAAATCGCAGGAACTCACACTGTGCGAATTTATTTATTGAAAATTGTCAATATTACCACAGTTATATTAACATATGCATTAATATCCGAATAAATTGTTGATACTGATTGATATGAAAATATATCAATGATACATTGTTACAAAATGAAATCAAGTTAACAGTTCCATAATTTTAAAGAGAAGAGATAGATATTTTATCTGTCAATATTTTCAATCTTTTCAATCTTATATCTTCAAATAATAAACTAGTTATGTTATTATTTTTAAATATTAAGATATTTCATGACATATTGGAAATTTTTATTAAGTATTACATTATTAATTATGTTGTAAAGGTAGTATCGGCACTTAACATAAATAATTTCGCACATGATCGATTCATCAGATCAAAGTGGTTCCTCATGAGTGCATCATTCACTATCAAGAGCCTTCGACAATGAGATTATAGAGATATACATCCTCTTTTCCTAGTAAAAATAAACACTATGTTGAGGTTTCATACAATCTTTTAGCGGGATAAAGATGAAATTTAATTACCGAATAAAGCGTAGCATATACATGTACTCTAAGCAGATACTCTTGTTGCAGAGGTTGCGGCAGTTGATATTATTTACCCGCACAGTCACGTATTTTTCAAATTTATTTTACATAATCGGAGAGACTATAAAGATTATACATTTTGTAAGAGAACAGCAGTAAATACATCGTGACAAACGTTTACATTTGCAGCATACAGAATATAGGCATTTTTTTTTTATTTTCTACGATTCTGATCGCGTTGAAAACGCTGCGAGCAATGTTGATAACTTTATTGAATATTTGCTTCCACACTAAATATGTTTATTAACAAGTTTGCACGCAGAGTTAAATGCGTGATGGGTGATCACATTTGAAATTGCAACGTTTTAATTAGTGGTTTTTGTAATGATAAAACAACGGCAAGAGCAAGAATATTTTTCAATGCACGTTTATTTGTTAATCTACGCGATGCACGATATGTGCGCTGCTAAGCGGTTTGAAAAAAATCAGAAAAAGTAATAAGAATTTGTTGCCACTTTGTACAATTAATAATCTCCTAGCGATTAGAGGGTGCATTGTAGTTGTAAATTTGAAGGAATACTTTATCGTATTCCTTGTATCGTATTTTGTACTAAAAAAAACTTGTACAATGGATTACTGATTTTCTATAGAGGTTTGATGAAAACAATCAATTATCGATTTTAAAGTAGTATAAAAGCTGTACATAACAATCGTTATAACACTCGTTATAACATTTTTCTGCTATAGGGACGAACGTGCTTTCCTTTGTCTGCATTTCTTCTTGTAAACGGAATATTCTGCTTATGTGATAACATTCAAATAGAAGCGTGCAAGTGAAAGAAGACCTCTGTTATATAATAACAAATTTCGTCTTCGATGCTTCGAATTAATTTCCCCTAACGCGTTCACCGCAAAATGATAAAAAAGATTGTGATTTTACTTAATAATATTTTATTGTGATTATTTGAGTGATATTTAAATACCATACTGCTCTGTGCAAAGACTTCAAGTCGTTAAAATACAGTACTAATTTCTTCAATACAACAACGTTTGCCTTATTGCTGAGCCTTAATTATATTTCAAGCTTTACAGGAGCATCTTTGTATAAATTTCCGTCCCATCATTCACCTGCTAATCCAATAAAATCAGTGCAACGTATCTCGTCATGAATTCAGAACGGAATTACACGAAAATTACAAGAATTGACAATTACAAGAAAAAATTGTTTACAATAGAATAGAAAAGCATCAATGAATTTTTTATTAAGTCCATATTATAAGTCGCACGAATTAATTTCTGCAATCTATGTTTTATATGTAATTATAATTAATATCAAGCACGATTTTATATTCGTTTAACTCGATTCAAAGCTTAGCTTAGAGCATCATTCAATAAAGCAAAACAAATCACATTTTTATCGCATTTTTTGATGAAACAGTAAAATACAAATTTCTGTTAGATTGTGAGTCAACAGAAAATTATGTAATATTAAAATATTCGTAAAGCATGGGTTTTAAAACACAAAAATTATAGAAAAAGACAACATGAACATACGACTGTTTTTATTAGATTAAAATTAATTATGATGAATATTAATAACATAACTTACAATATCTAATGTCATTACTTTCTTTTGCTTTTTACTTTCATTCTTTTTCTCACTCCAATAGATTGTTCTGTATCGTCGTCCTCATTGTCTCCACCTCCTCGTTTCCGTTTACTCGACTTCTTGTTTTCTTCGATATTTTTCATATCCTAGAATGTTAAAATAACATTCATATTCAATAATATATATATATATATATATATATATATATATATATATATATTACT